GTCTGTACTACCTTTCCTGCTTTTGCCCATGTGGACAGTCAGGTTTGCTGCACAACATGATTCCAAATGGTCATATTTATACTGTTTGAAGAAGATAGTCAATGTGTCTGAATCAGTCTTGCCCTATGCCTAACAGCCACACATTGTAAGCAAACAGGACAACAGTAGCAAACAAGTTGCCAAGGCTCGAATATAACCTTAAGTGTGGAGCTATTGTGGTTGTCAAGATGCTAGAAAGCAGTGAATGGTTATGGTCTTGTCTCTAGTAGCGAATTTTATGTTTTGAATGCGCTCAAAGAATTGAAAAAAGTTGCAGAAACACTGATAAGAGGTCCAAGTCTGCAGGCTCACAGCCTTTAGGATAACTCTGTCACACTGGATTTTGGTATAACTACCTTCTGAGAACAAAGTTGCTCAGGTGTCCATGTGTTCCAGGACTAAACTCTCACGCTACTTTGCCTTGCCCCTATGTAGCTCATTCACATATTGTCAGTCTATTGTGTTCTGGATTGAATTTGAGAGGTGCTGGTTGCTTTTATTAGATCTTTAACTATATAATTGTTTGGATAAAACAGGATAAATCTCTTTGGCTTTCTCATGTAATGTGAATGAAATGCTAGATATTAATTTTCTCGTTTGCATCCATGCATGCTTGTGTAGAAAATTTTCTGTGGTAATGATACATGATCAGACTGGGAGATGACTCTATGCAAACACATGTTAGGCATTTAATCACACCAGAGGGAAATCTAGGTAGTGGTTTTAATTAATGCATATTCTGCTACGATAGCGCATAAACTGAAGAAAAAGTAAAGGCAATTTTCAATGCTGGGAAAAATGAGGGAAATTACCAAGGCTGAGACATTTTTTGGCAATAATGTACAACCTTTTTGGCCAGAGCAGGTTAGCTTCTTGCAGTATTTGGAAAGAGATGCATCATTTCATGGTGTCTCTCATGCCACATCTTGACTGCTATGGAGTGTGCATAATGCTTCTGGGTGATGTCAGAGTTACTCAGTGTAGGCAGCTTGAGTCCACTATCCATGAAGATCTTGGTGGCTCTACTTGTATGTGATGGATTTACTTTCCAAGAAAGCTCCTATTTGTGTGCAATTACAGACAAGCACAAGGCTGGAGAGTTAGAATAAGAACAGGTTGGTATTCAGGTGTATCCTGCTCATGTCTGTGGAAGTGTTCTTGGGCCATGAGCCAATTCATGTCACCCTCTCAGCTGTTCTAAGAAGGAAGATCCAGGAGCTGGCAGGCTGCAACAAGCTGCCTTGACCATAGCCTCAGGAACAGCATGTGATATCTGTTATCTGTTACCACCTGAACTTCATGGTTGAAAGAATATCTCCCATTTGATGAATAAACACTTGATGCTACACTTAAATGCTAGAAATAAAAAATACTTCATCTGGGGAATATTATAAATCATACAGTATTCTGGACAATATCTGATACCATGCTATGCTCTGACTACTCTGATGTGTTTTGAAGGAGAGCAGACATAGGTTTTGTTTTAATTTGGTCAGTAAATCTGAGTTTACAGTTCTTTTTCATTGTTAGGGTAGCATATACCTTATAGAGCTTATTAGAAATTGTTGGGGTTTATTTTTCTGATTTATACCTAAGGAGTACTTTTTTTTTTTCAAAGGCATAAGAAAGGATTTATGCCTCCACTTTCTATTAACCCTAAGCAAAAGATTGATGTCTCATGTTCTTCTAAAAATACAAACAGAAAAGTCAGCAGTTATAAAGGTGTTTCCATTTCACTGTGCTTTCTTTACTGCAACCTTCCATTATAAGATTGCAAGAGGTCCTAAACTGTTATAAGACTAATGTTAAGATCAGCAAAGGGTTGTCATTAAAAGTTTTTCTTCTTAGGAAAGACTTCTGAGATTATCATGTGTGATGTTTGTCGTGCTATACCCAATCCCATTTGAAAGAAAAAGAAACAACACAGAAGGACAGAAGGAAGAGTTAAAGAATACCACTTTTCTGATGAAAGAAAAGTCAAGTCTAAATGCAAAGCATCCTTCCTAAGTTATTCTGGGGTGGGGAGGGGGAAGGAGGGGAGAGCATTATTCTGGAAATTATCTAGAGTCTGGAAAACATTGCTGGCAAGAAACTTGTGAAAGGTATTTGTCCACTTTCTCAGCCTGCCTCATAGATGTGAAACACATTTTCCTGACTACTTTGTGAGGCAATAAATTGAACGTGCTCCTTCACATGGCAGTTTAGGCTGCAAAAAGGAAGAGAGGCCTGTAAACATTTTTAAAGAGAATTTGTCCTGGGTTCCGCTGTAACAGTTATTTTTCTCCTTCCCAGTAGCTGGTGCAGTGCTGAGTTTTGACTTTAACCTGAGAACAATGCTGATAACACACCAGTATTTTAGTTGTTGTTAAGTAATGATTACTCCAATCAAGGACTTTTCAGTCTCTCATGCTCTGCTAGTGAGGAAGGGCAAGAAAAGCTGGGAGGAAGCAGAAGCAGGACGCCTGACCCAAAGGGGTATTCCACACCACAGTATGTCATGCCCTGTATATAAACGGGGGGGAGTCACCCAGAAGGCCCAGCTCACTGCTTGAGTCGGGCTGGACATCGGTTGGTGGGTGGTGAGCAATTGGACTGTGCATCACTGCTTGTCCTGGGTTTAGCAGTGGCAGTCATTTTTCTCTTTCTTGGTAGCTGGTGCAGTGCTGTGTTTTGACTTTCGGGCTGGGAACAGAGCTGATAAAAATGATGTTTTGGTTTGGCCAAGGACTTTGTGACCCTCATGCTCTGACAGGGAGGAGGGGAAGCCGGGAGGAAGCAGAGACAGGACACCTGACCCAAACTGACCAAAGAGGTATTCCATACCAGAGCACGTCATGCCCAGGAGATAACTGGGAGTTACCCAGAAGGGCTAGGTGGACTGGAGGGTTGGAGGAGGTATTGGTCGGTGCTTGATCGGGCTGGGGGGAGCGAGTTATTGGTCACCTGGTAATGAGTTGTTGTATTCTCTTCCCTTGTTATTTCCTTTATCATTACTATTATTGGTGGCAGCAGTAGTGATCTGTGTTATACCTTAGTTACTAAACTGTTCTTATCTCAACCCTTGGGAGTTGCATTCTTTTTGATTCTCCTCTCCATCCCTCCAGGAGTAGGGGGAGGGCAAGAAGGGGGGGGGGGGGGGGAGTGAGTGGACAAGCTGTCTGGGTGGGGTTAAACCACGACACTGGTGTTTATTCTTTTCCCCTTTAAGTTTTATATTCTCACCCCTTATTTCCCTTATCATTGTTACTATTGGTGGTAGCAGCAGCAGTTTTGTGTTATACCTTAGTTACTGGACTGTTCTTATCTCAGCCCATGGAGTTTACATTCCTTCGATTCTCCTCCCCACCCCTCTGGGAGCTGAGTGGGGGATAAAAAAGGGGGAGTGAGCGAGTGGCTACACGGTTCTGAGTTACCAGCTGGGTTTAAACCGCAACGGAATTTCAAAGTCACAGTAGAAAGCCAGACAACTGTAGCTGCCCAGAGCTGCAGGAGAGACCTGATTCAACAGACTGAAGTTAGTTTTTGCTCAGAGAAACAATAAGAACTTTATTGTCACCCAGAATTTAAGAGCACTTTTAAGATTGAGTTTTAAATGGTTTATGTTTGAGAGATTAAAATTAAGAAAAGAACAACAGCAAAACAACAAACAAAACAAAACCACACTCGGTTGAATTCTTTTCTGAAATACTTTGGGTTTATCTTTCTTCATTGTAACTGGCACCTGTATGTGTTGTAGCTCTTTCAACTATCTGCAGACAACAAGGTTGGAAATGGGGAACTTTAGGACTTCTTCAAATGCCTTCTCCAGCTATTGAGTAGCTATTTGGTTTTGCAGTGCATTGTAAAAAACTCTTCAGCTAGAGAGAGCTCTTGCATGAATTACAGGAAACATTATTCACTGAGAAATTTGAAAGTCTTTATGCTTTTTGTTATGTATAGTTTTGTGTTGTTGAACCAAAAAGACATTAGTCTTCTATAAGTCAAATCTTTCTTGCCTAGGAAAGAATCTAGAAAGCGCAGATTCCAAGATGTTAACAAGCTATTTTGCTTGTAAATTTCTGCCCCTGCTATTTGGTTTGGGGTTTGTTTGGGGTTTCCTTTCCCCTCTCCCCCTTAATTTTACAGATTCCTTCTTTCTACTTATTCCTTTATTCCCGTAATTCTTTTTTTCTTAATCCTGATACATCACAAAATGTCTATTTTCATTTACTCTGGCAACAATTCACTGTAATTCTACCAGAGCTACTGGAGTTTCTTTGAATTTACTGTTGTAAAAGCAGGAACAAACTTTGATCCCATGATTGATAGTTATAGACATCTGAATGGAGGGAAAAAAACACAAACCTTCCCAAAATAGTGTTCAGTCTTTACTCCTTAATGGATTTCATGTCATCAAGGAATGCATCAAATGATTATGCCCATGACCATGTGGCAAGAAAAGAAATTTAAAGCACGAATACAAGAATTGGATATTATTAGTGAGCAAGCTTGCAAATTAGTTTATTCTGACATAGTGGAAGCCTAGTATAAGGCAGATTGTTTTTAAAAAGCGCATCACAAGAGATTTTTTTTCTTCCCCTGAAAAACAAGAGAGGGTAGAAACACCTTAAGGACATTTCAAGCAGTTACTCCTAGCCATGCTTGTCTCTGGGCTGTAACCATTATTTAATTTTCTGAAAGACGAAGGAGAATATTTTTCTCATCTATGAAATCATATGTTGTAATAAGTTGCTTCTGAATTGCATGAAGGCATTTGACAAAACTTCACAATGACTTTTATTAGCCCTTCAGGAGAGGGATTTTGGTTTCTTAACTGCAGAAGATTAAGCAAAACTAAGAAAAGGCATATATAATCTCTACATCTAGCCCTATCTATAGCCAAGTCTAAAATGTTAGTACAGCTCCCAAAGTTATAATTGTCATTTCCTGATGTTTACTGGACTCTCACTTCTGTTCTGCAGAAAAATGGAAAGGAAGAGGAAGAGCAGGGTCACATTTTGAGTCAGCGCGCAGACGGAGTAGAGCTGTCCTTTATCATATATCTGGACATCTACAAAGAAGAGAGAAGAACAAATTAAAAATTAATAATGTAAGTGTAATTCTTCTCTGTATTAAAAGTGTACTCTTTGTGCCATCTTAAAAAAAAAAAAAAAAAGCTGTAAAATGTCAGTGAGTACCTGAGAAATGTCCTAGTCATAATTTTATGGTAAAGTGCAGGTCATTTAAGTGCAGTTCTGCCTGCTGTGATATTTGTTACACTTCATATACCAAGAAGATATATATATGTGTGTATATGTAAGGTATTTAGCATTTAGCCACACTTTAAATGGACATTTATTTATCCCCAGAAAAGACACATTGTAAAATTTCTCAGAATTTAGTTTTAGGTTCCAATTATGCACTGTCCCAGTTATTTAATTTCAATAATTACTGTTTGGAAAAAACAAAACAAAACAGAAAGAAGCCCTCAAGGTATTGCTCTAGCTGAAAATCTCTATACTGTGTAAGCTCCAGAAAGTCACACTTGATGAAGGTAAATTTTCAGTTGAATATCTCCAACTTCGTGCAGAATAAACTTATTTTTTAATTTCCTAATTGAAGTAGCAATGTTTCTTTCTTTACTTTACTTCTGTGTTTTCCTATTTATAACTAATAAGCAAGTTCATAACACGAGTTGCAAAAGCCAAATCAAACAATAGACAAACCCTGAAATATGACAGCAGAACAACTTCTAAGGAAATATGCTGAGAAGAAAGAATAACTCTTCTACTCTTTGGAACTATGTATGAGGAGAAAGGTTAAAGCAGAAGAAAACTAGACATGCCTATGAAATCAGTATGTACATGTAAAAATTTGTTAGAATAATGTCTGAGAGACTGATCATTATCATCAAAAAACTAAAATCTTTGACAGAATCACAAGAAGAAAATGTTTTGGGTTTGTTGGGTTTTTGTTTTTTTTTTTTTTTTTGTGGTTAGAGGGAGGATGGAAGACAGACAATGGAAAAAATCACCAAAGTATACAGATAATGAACACCCTGAAAAGATGATCTGCCACTGGGCATGTTCCTTTTATTGGTGACCAAAAGTAAGCAGCAGTGCAGATGCATCCTCCTAGATATTAGGTTAGAAATTAAAAGCAGAAAAACATTGGTATAGATTAAGGAAATGAAAATACACAGCTGGTACATATCTCAAAGGGCATATGTTCACTTCCACTGAATGTAAATGTTAAATGTTAAAAGATGATAAATGATTAAAAAAAGGTTAAAAAGCTAAAAATGTTTTAAAATGCTAAATGTTAAAAATGTAAAAATTAAAAGAGAAAAAAATCTGCAAAATATCACTAGTTCTTCCAATGATATTTTCATAGCACAGTAATATTTTTTAGGAAAATAACTTTTAAATAGCTTTTGGTGACTTTAATATACTGTCAAAATCCTAATGCAGATGATATTATACTAGTTAAAAACATCTGTTGTCAAAATAATTTACTACATTTAGTGAACAGATTTTGAGAGCTATGAACTGGAAGTCGTAAGAGGAACATATCCTTCTCTGTTATGAAAAATGGGCTGATGCTAATACTGGGAAATCAGCCCCTAAATTTCACAAATGAGAGCTAAGAATGGAGAAGGCAAGGACAACAGTATTTCACAAGCACACAAAAAGAAAAGCTGTGCCAAGCAAGGCAAATGTAATTAAGTTGTGGTCATGCAGTTGTCTTTTTATATTCCTAGTAAATAACTGTAAGATCAGAGGTAGTCCTAACTCGCTGAATACATAGTATTGTTTTGTGAGCATCTTCATTGCTAGAACAGCATTAGCCATGTGGCCAATAACAACAAGCAAGAATTTTGTTAGTAAATAATACAAGACAGTTCATGTACTACATGCTGATTTTCAGGAGGGTAGGTGGTTTGTTTGGGGTTTTTTTGACTCTCAAATGTGAAAGCTCAGAATTTATAACACTAATGCTTAAGACTGAAGTCTGTCACAGAGACCTTTCCTGGTTAGATGACAAAGATTCAAGACACATGACAAAGCCAGGTACAGTCTACTGGCAAAAGTAGTCAGTTCTGGAACCATATTACAATCTGTCTACACTAGTAGTTTGGTTTAGATTTGGAGTGGGAAAAAAAAAAAGTTATTCTTACTGATTATTCTATATTTCATAACAGTTCATAACACAAACTGGATTCCCTTAGGTGAAACTAAACTAAGAGAGATGCTGCAAGTACAAACAGCTGTTCTGTCCAAAGGACGAGGCTACTGTTAGAGACAAAAAACTCTTCACAGCTCTAAAAAATAGATAGGAAGGACGTTTTGTCTTCAGCACCATCTATTCCTTTCTGTGTTTATTCCTATTTGCAGTACTATGTCATTATGTATACAAAGCTTTAACCTAACTGTCCAGTAGAAAAAATGTTGCTCTTCAGTCAGAATTCACCCAACAGAGAAAGAAATAGTTTGCCAGATTCAACCCCCTCCTCATTCTCTTTAATCTGTTCTTTATTAATCCTCTTCCTGTCCCAACATTCACGAAAGTTATTCCATCAACAGAACCATCTGTCTAAATAAGTGTGAGGACTACATTAGAAAAAATTAGCATTAGTTCTTGCCTGTATAACAGTGTGTCATATTTCATTATGCTTAAAAAGAAACCACACCAAAACAACCAAACAAAAAACTAATGGCTGCATTGGAGGAATTGCATCTGTATGATCAAATTACTGTCTTATTTCATCTTTTTCTCTCTTTTTCAGAACGTTTTTGTAGATAAACCAGCATTTCCAGAATACAAAGTTTCAGATGCAAAAAAATCCAAATTCATACTATTACATTTTAGCACTTTTAAAGCTGGCTGGGACTGGCTTATTTTACTGGCAACGTTTTATGTTGCTGTGACTGTACCTTACAATGTTTGCTTTATTGGTCATGATGAGCTGTCTACAACTCGAAGCACAACTGTCAGTGACATTGCAGTGGAAATTCTTTTTATCATTGGTAAGTTATATTTGGGATTTGTTTGGGATCCCTTTTTTTTGGCATTTAAGTTTTTCACTGAATGTATAATATAGGGAAAAAATCACTTTCATGATTTTAAAGGAAATTTTTAGCTGTGTATATTTAGGTTTTATCTGAACTAGATCACCTTTTGGTTTTGGGTTTTTTTGTTTTGGAGTTTGATTTTGGGCTTGCTTTTTTCTTTTTTACTGTAAACTGATTTGGGAAGTCCTGCTATTACTCAGAAGGGACCTTTAATCTCAAGGAAAGCCGTTATTTCACCATCAGGATACCTAAACCTTCCCAATGTAGGGGTGTGCCCTGGAATTACTATACTGTTGTTCGTAATGTACTTTTTTTTCCTCTTACCTTTCACAAACACTTAGGAGACTCATGTACCACAAGTTGAAAATCACTAGATTTTAAAACTAAATGACATAAGATCAAGACTCATACTACAATAATGCAAATGTACAATATCAATATGCTATACAGACAACTGGGATATCTTTTAAGAGGTTGTTTTAACCTTGTCATCTGGTCCATTCTCTAAACTTTTTATCTGAATAAACCATTTAATTCTTATACCTTTAAAGAATTAATAAGAAGACAAGATCATATCTAATAGCGGCCTTGTAGCAAATCTACACTATTTTTCATTTTATCTTTTTTTTTTATTCTTTTGTGAATATGGAAAAGAGTCTATGCTAGAGTCCCACAGATTTTTCCCAAGTTTTTATTATTATAATACCAATCAATGCTGTCACACTGACAAACCATAGCTCAGATCTGTTGATAATTTGCAGGTGGAGAAACTGTGATTTTTTAGAAATAAGCAAAGTTGAGTATGTCAGTCTTGAATATGAAAAGGCTTAGGTGGGTTCTAAGGCAGACAGAAAATGAACAAAACAATAAAATCATCCTCAGATTTGAAACTTCAGTTCTACTTTACTTTTTTCTTTTTTTGTTTTGAAAAAAAAAAAAATGTAGCTTAACTCATAAATTCAAAGCAGTGTTGTGATCTTCTGTAGGAGAACTAAAGAAAACTGAAGTTTTCTTAAACACTAAGTAACAACTCAAAATATCTTTAACAGAATTTTTTATTATGAAAATCTTGAAAAGTTCATTACGTTTCTCCGACAGCTTTACTGTAGACAGTAAGAATAATAAGTGATGTGGCTGATGGAAGAATCACACCTTATGACATAAATATTTGTGTTTCCTCCTTTGGACATTGTTTTGTATTAGGTTAAAGGTCTAATTTTCCCCTTTTTTGTTCACTATCAAATCTTCATTGAGTCTTTCATGTTCATGCAAACAACTCACATTCAACAATACTCAGGCACAGAAGTAAGAAAACTACATTCTGAAATGCAGATCATCTGAGATCATATTTTGTCTTGTGTAAAAAGAACAAGATTATAACCCTAGTCAGTCATATATGACTTCATGTTCCCTTTTAAGGAATACAAAATTAAATAATTCCACTTGATCTACCTGGGCATCTTTATAAAAACAGTAGACTTGAGGTTACAGTATCTTGCTAATGGATGTATCCTTCACCTCACACCAGTGGTTTGTGTTATGAATGTAGTTATTTAAATCTGAGCATAAGATTTTTGTGCTGTAGCATTCATCTGAAGCAAGACAGATGGTCTACTGCTCAGTGCTACTTTTCTGTTTATATCATTTTCTGGAAATAATGGACTTCTTAGTAAGTCACAGTCTCTGTGATCAATAGAGTGTCTTTGTAAGAAAACTTTAAAAACCCTAAATTTTTTTGCAAATTTTACTTCATATTTTCTTGTTAGAATTTTAGTTCTATTATCCAGAAAATCAAACTACTGTTGTAACTAAATGCATATGAAGAAAACTGTACAAATACTAGAAAAGACTTCTTTGAATAGTTATGTTACTGGTAACCACAAACACTGTACTGTAGCATAAGAATATTCCTCCCCCAGAGTTTCAATAATGGCTCAAATTTCCCCAAAATAATTGTTTTAAAAATTGTTATCTCTTTGTAAGTTTCTTGCTCTGGGAAAATATTTATGGAATATTTTCAGGACATTCTCATACTGCATTTAAATCTCTGTAGTGAATTCAAAGAAAATTGCCTCTGGAGGCCTGTATCTAGTGGAGTGCCTCAAGGGTCGGTACTGGGACCAGTATTATTTAATATATTCATCAATGATTTAGATGAGGGAATTGAGTGTACTATCAGCAAGTTTGCTGATGACACTAAGCTGGGAGAAGTGGCCGACACGCCAGAAGGCTGTGCTGCCATCCAGCGAGACCTGGACAGGCTGGAGAGCTGGGCGGGGAATAACTTGATGAAATATAACAAGGGAAAGTGTAGAGTCCTGCATCTGGTCAGGAACAACCCCAGGTTCCAGTATAGATTGGGGAACGACCTGTTAGAGAGCAGTGTAGGGGAGAGGGACCTGGGGGTCCTAGTGGACGACAGGGTGACCATGAGCTGACACTGTGCCCTTGTGGCCAAGAAGGCCAATGGCATCCTGGCATGTATTAGAAGGGGGGTGGTTAGTAGGTCGAGAGAGGTCCTCCTTCCCCTCTACTCTGCCCTGGTGAGACCGCATCTGGAATATTGTGTCCAGTTCTGGGCCCCTCAGTTTAAGAAGGACAGGGACCTGCTGGAGAGAGTCCAGCGCAGGGCAACTAAGATGATTAAGGGAGTGGAGCATCTCCCTTATGAGGAAAGACTGAGGGAACTGGGTCTCTATAGTTTGGAGAAGAGGAGACTGAGGGGTGACCTTATTAGTGTATATAAATATATAAAGGGGGAGTGTCACGAGGATGGAGCCAGGCTCTTCTCAGTGGCAAGCAATGATAGGACAAGGGGAAATGGGTACAAACTGGAACACAAGAGGTTCCACTTAAACCTGAGAAGAAACTTCTTCTCAGCGAGGGTGACGGAACACTGGAACAGGCTGCCCAGGGAGGTTGTGGAGTCTCCTTCTCTGGAGACATTCAAAACCCGCCTGGACACGTTCCTGTGTAACGTGTTCCTGCTTCGGCGGGGGGATTGGACTAGATGATCTTTTGAGGTCCCTTCCAATCTCTAACATCCTGTGATACTGTGATACTGTGAAAATAGTGTGTTTACAGTCGTCTCTAAGTTGTCCCTTGTCCATTAAAATGCTGAATGAACACACCTCAGAACATTATAACTATCTTGAAATTAGTAAGACTGACAGCATAACATAAATTTAATCATAAATTTCAGGGCACTGTTGCACTGTGGCTCTGACAAGCACATCTTTGATGGATGATCTGTGTGTTCTGAGAAAAGTCAATGAGAAGCACTGAGTAAAATTCCTTTTGTGATGTTGCTGCCTCAGAAAGTCAGTGAAGTCTGAGATGGGGCCTTCAGTGTATTATGGCTCTGTAACCATGGAATCATAGAATGATTTGGGTTGGAAAGGAATTTAAGATCATCTAGTTCCACCACCCCGTGTCATGGGCAGGGACAATTCTCACTAGACCATGGTTTGAGGTATCAGAGCTCTGTAATCATGGATTGGAGAAAAAGAGTCTATCAGCTTTGATTTTATTCAGATTTCTCAGAAATGTGAGGTTACTCACATAACTTTCATAAACTTGTATTTGAACTTGACAAAATCTTCGTTTTTCTCTGTGTTATCAAAGGGCAAAAAGGTATGATAGTAAAAGGGAAAGATGATGTTTTCTGCATATCAGTTCAAGGCACATAATGGGGTAGATGCTAAGGGTTTCCTTTAAGAAGAAGAGTTTTAATAAGTCTAGTAGCTAAAAAAAATCTTTTAGGCTTATCCAATTTGTGAGTCAGCATACACTTAAGCTTGCTAAAAATATATATGGAAGTGTTCTCCTGAGTTGGTATGCTCGTAAGAGTGCTGATTTGTATTAAATTATTTATGAGAACAGAGCACATCTAGGAAGAGTTTTAACTGCTTTAGCCATGATAGTTCTCTAAGACATGAACAGAAGATAAACAATAAGAATAACCCATTGTGTGATGTCTTTCGGGAAGAGATTGGAGAGGGAGCATGACTAAGTCTTCTCGAGGCAAAATTATTTTTCACTTGATGCTTCCTATGCATGCTAATGCTTTGATAACCTGTGTGATGTGATGTTTGAGTGTACTTTTAGATCTCTTTTCCTCCGTAATGTGTGCAAACCTTCTCTAATGCTCCCCTGTAAATATATTTTTTGCTTCCTCTATCCAATGATAATTTAGGTTTAGAAATTTTTTACTGTTTTAGGTATCCCAAAATCATAAACAGCTGGAGAGAAAAACTTTTAAACATTAGTGTAAAGACATAAAAAATTATCTTTGTGTTTCAGCTGCTGAGTGATACTACCTGCTTTATTGCACTATTTACTTCAAAGTTTATGCCCCTTAATCTGCATAAACAGTACTAGGTCCTTCGTTTGTAGATAGGTATGTCTGGATGGCTAAAGTTTTAATATTTCTAAGAAGCATAGCAGATCTTAATTACTTTTCAATTATATTTATGAAGTTTTCTCTTTTTTTGTAAAGCTGTGAGAGTCTCTCTCCAAGTTCATTCCATTTTACTAGTAATAACCTCCTGACTGCATAACTTTTATTCTTCTGTAACTATCCAATGTAGTGCTTTTCATTCTGCAACTGTTTCATTCTAGATTTCTGATATTCTCTCTCCTTTTTTCTTTTTTTTTTTTTTTTTTTAAACATTAATGAACACCTTAATTGCAGAAATTAACATTGCTGGGAAAGCTCAGGCTCACGGGCCCATTTGAATAGGTTGTCTTCAGCAGGAGTTGAGGTCAAGGCCATACTTCAGCAAAAATGTGTATAGGCTTTCACAGTAATGGTAATATATTATTTGCTAGATAAGATCAGAGGTGTCTGATATTTCTTCTCTTAAGATGGCCAGGAACAGGTACAGAGAGAGGAGCTATAAAAATAAGTGATCTTTGACTTTTAATTTCATTTTTCTATTTGTGGATCATCCAGT